CCTGAACTGGAATGACCTGTCTTCTCTTTGTGTACCTAGCAGTAAACACCCATAGGTTGGTCTGCTTCTGCTCTCATGAACTCCACTCTGACAGCAGAGTTTCCACCATTCATGAGAGAGATGGTTAACTACATGGCTAGGGTGGTGTTGGTCTGTATATAGTTGTATTAACTTGTGCATTGATTCTGATACGATAAACTGTTGCTAAGGTAGCCAACTTGATTTCACAGAGGACTTGAGCTTTTGGCAAGAAACCCAATTCTAAAGGAATTTTGAGCTTAGTGGATTTCTTCAGCCCATCTAGTATAGGGGACATTTCTCTTCTCTTTACTGTCTCTGATATTTATTTTCATTTTTTTTTTGGTAGGGGGAAAGGTGATACGTGCTTGTTATAAGACATTCCAACATTACAGAAACATGGAAAGTGAGACTTTCTGGTAATTTTACCCTTTGTGGTAATTATTAATTAACATTCAATATATAGTCTAGATTTTCTGTGCACATGGTCATCATCTCACCAGGTGGATAGAAAACCAGATTGCCAGCATTTTGGGATTGAGAGGTAAAAGGAATGTTGGGTATCTCAGCATTCTATTTATGTTTACTCAATTCATTTGTTTTTAGTACAACTTTGGTTCTTAGCCTAGAGACCTAATGTTCTTTCTACCTTTTCAAAGAATAGCCTCTCTCCCCCACCCCCAACCAAGGTTAGGGAGAGCCAGTCCCTAGAATGCTGAGTGGAGGAGGAAATGGAAAGATCTGACTACTTCTTAAATTCATTTTTTCAACCAACTGTCCTTATTTTAGCTCCCATCCTACCCCTACTTCCAGAAGTTCCTGATTAATGCTATTCCTAAGTCTTTGGGGATTTTGTTGTATAATTTGGGTTGTTTCTTGGCCTTCCCCTTTTCTGGCTTATAATTCAATTTCTCAGATCTAAATCTTTTCCCACTAGTACATCTGCTTTTCAGTTTCTAGAATTTTATTCCAATCACCTTTGTGTCTTATTCTCTTTCTTTGTGGGTTTGTTCCTTTTTAAAAATATTCCTTTTGTATTGTTTTATCCAGATTTCAGGAGGAAGTAAGAAGAGATGTTGTATATGTTCAATATGCCATCCTTACCTAAAAGTGTGAAGTGATGGTGCTTTGGTCCGAAGTCTTTGATGAAGAACTGTATATTAGTTACCTAGGGCTGCTATAACAAAGTAACACAAACTGGGTGTCTTAAAACAAAATAAATTTCTTCTCTCCCAGTTATGGAGTCCAGACATCCAAAATCAAGGTCTTAATAGGTTTGGTTCCTTCTGGAGGCTCTGAGGGAGAAATCTATTCCATGACTCTCTCTTAGCTTCTGGTAGTTGCCAGCAAGCCCTTGGTGTTTCTTGGCTTGTATCTTATCACTCCAGTCTCTGCTTCTGTCTTCATGTGATGTTCTCTCTGTGTTTATTTGCATCTTGTCTTCACAGGCCTAATAAGGACACCAGTGGGATTTAGTGTCACCCTCCTGTACGACCTCATCTTAACTTGATAACATCTGTGAACACCCTATTTCCAAATAAGGTCATATTCACAAGTACTGGGGCTTAGTTCTTCAAAATCTCTTTTAGAGGCACAAAATTCAACTCACAACAAACCAGCAAATTTTATTACTGGAATGATCCATTCGTGAGAAGCTGAGAGATGACTGCAGTTTTTTCATCAGTAATTGTTGAAGGCTTAACAATTAAGTATTATTT